AAATACATATTATATATATTGTATATACACGTACATACAAAATACAAATTTCTTGTTTCTTTCGCTTTTCTTTTTTCTTTTTTTCTTTTTTGGTAGGCTAAACGAGAGTTCTCGATGAGAGATGGTTCATTTGGTTTATTTGCCAAGGAGGATCTTGCGAGTGGCACCGATGCTCTGGCCAGATTGGGTGGCACCCTTGTTGGAACCAGCCTGGAGACCGATCACCGACTCTCCAGCGCGAAGTTGTTCCTCGGTGAACTCGCGTTTGCACTCTTCTGCTGGCTTGGGGCCCAGGTATGGTCCTTTCCATTCTGGGTGCTTGTATGTCTGCAACGTAGGAGGAAATGCTTGTGATTTGGAGAAAGTGTGAATTTCGAGTGACTTGTGATATTTTTCTAAATTTAGAATTCAAGTGGAGTTAAAGTGATTTCGAACATGTGAAGAATTGGGGAAAATGTAAATTTAGAGTAGCTTGAGATTTTGTTTAATTTAGATTGGAAATTGTAATGTGTTCGAATTTAACTAAGAAATTAAATTTGGAAATTTGAACGAAGAAAAAGGAAGTCGGATAATTTGTTTAAATTTAATTCTGTAACTGAATTCCCACTTCTAATAATAAATTTCTAATAATAAATTTTAACGTGAACTCGAATTACCTTTAAATTCATGTATAATCATGTTCAGATTTAAATCTGTATTAAATTGGGAATGAAATTAAACTGAGTGAATATTAACGAAGTTGTATTTTTAATTAAACCTACCGTACGACCAAGAGCGAAGAGAGTCGTCACAACCTGCGCCATGTCCTTCTTCTCCCACAAATCGACCGTTTGGAACACGTCAACATCGTCCACTCCGTAATCCTTCAGAGCTTTCTGGAACCTAGTATAAAAAAGCAATTACATTTTGCAAGAATAAGAAACGAAAAATGAAGGATTTATGATAATTTATAAATCTTCTTACATGTTGATGTTCTCCATCATTTTGAATTGACCGCCGGAGGAGTTGATCTTGGGGACAGATCCAGGGGAAATTTTGTTCATCAGTTCACAAAGGACCTGTCCGTCCTTCAGAACATCGTCGAATGCCTCACCAGGAGGAAACTTCTTGCCCAGAATGCTCTCAATCCATTCTTGAGCCTCCTTCTCCTGTTCTGGATTACGCTTTGCAGCGATCTACAATGAGAATTCTAATTAAATCGACAATTCTTTGTTAATTTTTTTGGTTTTATTTTAATTAAAAATTTGTTCAATTCTTCTTAATAAACTTGAAATGATGTTAAGAATAATTTTATTCGAAAGTAGGAAGCTGCCAGGGATCCAAGAATCCTAGAATCCAAAGATCTAAGAATCCAGGGATCCAGGAGAGTAAGAGTCAAAAAATCCAAAGATCTAAGTTCAGGAATTCAAGAACCCGATAATTTCAAGATGCAAGAATCCAAAGATCCAGGATTCAAGAATTCAGGAAACCAAGTATCCAAGTATCTAGGGATCCACGAGCCCAAGAATCAAAGGATCTATAAGTCCAAGAGCGCAAGCACCCAAGAATCCAATAAAAATTCTGTCCATTGTAAATTGAAACGAAGAACATTGGAAGGCAATTAAAAAGAACGAAGTTCAACATCAGGAAACTCAACGTTGCTTCACAAGACCCGATAAAGCAACCAATCGTCACCAAAAGAAGAAAAGAAAAAGAACAGCAATAAAAATCACAATAGATCACATATTGGACTTCCAGCGACTTCCGTTCGAAATTCTCCTTATTCACGGTGAAAACCAAAAAAGAAAAAAGAAGAAGAATTTGGACGCGCACAAAAAACCTCGTGGCCATACCTTGGCGCGCACTTGACGTTCGAGAGCCATCCTGTAGTAGCCTGTTGTCTCTTTCAGAGGACTGAAGTGCTCAGGCTGATGGTTGGTCCCTCTTATACCCGCGAGCAATGGCGGGAACACGTCCCACGCTCCTTGAAGAAGCTGTCCAACACGGGTGGACGATGTTTCGCGTGTTTCGAAAAAAGACGCCGCGGATCGCGGCTGTGTGAGTGGTTGCCGCTTTCCACGCTTTTCGACCGTCTAATATTAGCGTCTTATTCATTTGGACAGGGGACGAGACACGGAGGATTTCCAAAACCGCGGCTGCCAAGCTGTGTTGCACGTGCAGCTGAGAAAACGCTATGGAAAATCATGCGATCGTCAGTTTTCTCCACCAACAGTGTATTTAACGAACTTGAAAGAAGTGATCGGGTTAAGTGAAGATCAAGAAGAATGAACGAGAAGAAATTGAGTTAAAGAAGCTGAAAGTTGACGTTGGATCTAGCGTAGGGTAAGTGCGCCTAATTTCGCTTAGGAAAATTCAAAAAGGGAGCAGGAAGTTTGCATGGTTTACAGTGGTTGGATGATGCTTTCCTGTGTTTGGACTTGGAATTAAAAGTGGAACGTTGAAAGTATATGCGTACCGTAGGTGGTGATAGATCGAGAGGCTGACTAATTCCAGATAATTCTCCTTCCGCTGTCTTGGTTACTGTACCGAGCATTTGCTTCACTTATTTCACCTTTTCTGGTAGTTGTATGTGTTACAGATAAGTATTCGTTAGGTTTGGTTCAGTGTCAGGCATTGTCTTTTTAAATTGTTGAAAATAAAGAAGTGTATTTAAGATAGCATAAGTAGCTTTTAATTGATGTTCATGAATTTTGTAAATGAAGTCTAAAATATTCAACTTGTTTCTGATTTCAAACTAAATAGATTGCTTAATAATAACATAAATAATTATAGTGAAAGTAATCAGAAACGGAAGAAAATATATGAAAAAAAAAAAACAAACGGTGGTACTTTAAATACAAGATGACATATTTTTTTAATTATTTTAAGTATTTGTGCTAGGATATATAAAGATAGATTTACTGGTGTCACAGCAAGCAAAACAATAGCTATAACAATAGACAAAATCTTGAAAAAACACGGAGTAGTATAATAAAATTGTACTAATTAATTATTTACAATAATATTGTAATTGTTATGAAAAATTTCCAATTATTTCTAATTACAAATAAAAAATAACTACATGTTACAGATAACAATATATTTCACATAATACATTGTACATAATTATAATTTATCCATGAAGATTCATATATTTATATATTTATTAAAACACCTAACCTTTACTGACACAATGTTCGTAAGGTAAAGTGTTCTTAAATTTACTAACCTAAAAAGCAAAACTTTAAATTGTCATTTAAAAATAATTTTCTTCATTTCATTCTGCACTATATTCCTCAACTTCCGCCTGCATCATTGCCCAAAGCGCTTTTCCCTTCGTCGCCATCGGCGTTTCAAATATTCGAAAAATAGAAAGAAAAGGAAATTCGGTTTCGCAAAGTGTCACAGTTTTTTTCTGTAAATAACCAACCACTATATAGGTCAAGTTATTATTACGCTGATCCACTTTTTGAATTCACATAGACAGCCAAGGCGTCTCGCAGAAGTATGGTATCGTTTTCATATCCAATATGGCGACTTCCTTTAAAGGAAATATTTGTCTTTAAATATTCTAACATCGTTGAATTTACCTTTATAAAATTTGGCACAAATATGTAAATAGAAGAACTGCTTTTTATTTAAAAAAGGATGTGTCATCTTTTATTTAAAGTGCCATGTTTTTTTTAATATTTTTTCTTCAGTATAATTTCAGACATAACCTTACTCATAACAAGCATGAAACTTCATTGTGTGTTTGTTTCAGATAAACGGAATTTAAAAAATTTTGATTAATATGTTTCAAATAAAAAAAATATGTTTGAGTGCTCAACAATATTTGAGTATTTGTCAACAGTACATATTCGAGAAGGAAAAATGATAAAGAATCGCCTGTGAACCTTCCTTAAGGCTGTCTTTTATGTAAGCGGAATTTTTATCAACAGCTGATAAGAGAAGATTGCATAATCGACGCAGTTCTTAATCTAACGATATGGAGGATTATTCACTGGCGAACATTGCTGGCTACTGACTCAGGTTTAAATATAATCGCAACGTCCTGCGTATTTCCATTTCCCCTGTTCGTTGTTAGAATGCAAATTTTTCGTCGAGTTTCAATGAATTTCGACTATTTCCAATGTAATCGAATCAAAGTTCCTAACAAACAGAACGAATGGTCGAATTTAAGCGCGTTCACGATTTAAACCTGATTTCTACGAAATTATATCCACGCGCATTATGATTAATTTTCATGAGAAACCGCGTGCGCGGGTGGCATTCAAGGTATTCTATTATTACCGTCTATTAATCATTTATTCAATGTTAGAAGGAATTCAAGATATTATTATACAGATGAATAATTTTAAGAATTCAAAGAAGAGTCGTTAATTCTTTATTTTGATACATTAAAAAAACATAACTCCTACATTGCACTATTTTTTTTTTTACATGAAAAGGAACTACAATAAAATTATCGTAGAAAATATTATTCACGCAATCATTTCGTTTTAAAGACAATTATGAAGAACCTTTATACTAAATGACTGTTATAAGGATCCGAAATTTCTGACTATATCTGTTTTGATTACGGTTCCTATACTTATTTCTAATATTTCTTGTAACTCTGACGTTAATCTGTTCGAAAAGAACGAAATGTAGTTGTATAAAATCATCTGCTATCGAGCATTAAGTACGATTGATACTTATATTGCTTTAACATCATCTAAAACAGATGTTGCATTCTTGGCCTTGCTAGGCGCTGTAGTTACTTGTTGATCAAAAAGTGAAGCTTCTCATTCGTCGGGACAACCGATAAAGATAAGATTGGTGATCGACCGTGCACGCGGCGGCCCGTCTCCTTCTCTTTCGAGAAATTACCATTTATAGATAATACACACTAAATTGAGTTTTTCGGGGGTATTGAAAATGCATCCTTATTCCAGGTCCAAAATTGACTAACTCCTTTTCTCGATTTTTCTGCCGAAACAAAAATTTCCACAGGATATATTATAATTCTCTCAAAACATGGATAGTGAAGCTTCTTTAGAAAGAAAAGAGAGATAAAGGACAATAACTCTAGGAGAACAACCGAGAATTCTTTGAAGATGGAATAATTAATCGCACGTGGATTTTTAGGCCTTTTTTTATGGCATTTTTATCATCGTGATTACCAGATTTAACATCCCTGGATTATTTCTTGTGTGGGATATGATTGAAGAATGATGTTAATACGAGTGGAAAATAAGTTAAGAGACTGTGTTGCAAAGGGTGTCCAAAAATAATATGGTAAAAAAATGACTAAAACTGTTTAAAAAAAAGCATTTATATTAACAAACACATTTCATGTTACAAAATAATGGCATGGTAAAATGTTTTTATATTTTGTGATTCCAAGAACCGTTTTGAAACCGATATAGAAACTGTAATCGAAATATATGTATACATAGTCAGAAATTTCAGTTTCTTATAACAGTTATTTAGAATAAAGGTTCTTCATAATTGTTTTTTAAAGAACCTCTATATAACAATTTGAAACAGTTATCTCTGAAATCATTTCTATTGTTGCTATAAACAGGTTTTCGATCATTCAAAATTAAATTGGGCAATGTTACCAATAAAAAAACAATCCCTAGAAAGTGCAGCAGACAATAACGCCCCCTTAGCGACAAAACGGAAAAATTATTCGTCCGTAATCCGCCGCTTTTCGAGAGCTTACTAACCCTGGCAGAAAGTGAATAGAAGCTTTAAAGGTGTAGGTTCTTTTTTTTATTATTCACGGGATTTGTTTCTCTCTTTCCTCGTTTTCTTCCGCACTTCAATTCAGATCGAGCTGTAAAACATTGCAGTTTGGAGCGTTCCAAGTGGAACTATGTTGTGATAGAAAATGTACTCCATTCTGACGGACGTTCAAGGAAGCCTCTAACACAGTGTTTTAATTCTATTTCTCTTATGTTTTTGCCAATTATGTTGTGAATTTAACCGTTTCATTGATGATGTTACAACGCGTGTAAAATACTGCGATTAATTGTAACCTGTATAAGGTTGTAATTAGGTATACTTTCGAAGGTTATGTTTTTGTTTCCCTTGAAAGTTTGACAGAAAAATCATGTTGTTCGTTAAAAATATACCATCTTTCACTTCTGTGTAAAAAGTAAATGACATGATGTATAAAAGTGAAATGTAAATAAAGTTACTCTAATAAAATACTGTAGTTTGATAATGATTCACATCATTTTGTTGTATGATGAAAAGTGTATATTTATTTCAAAGTGACTTCTATATAATTGTTACAATTGTAAATTGTACACAACTGTCTATGTAAATAAGAGATTTATTGATTTTAACCAGTAGGATAATCACCAAAGGAACATGGCACAAAGGTTTCCTGTACCAAATGCAGGGAATAATGGCCCTCCACCTCAAAGATATGCAGCATCATCTGTGCCTCCAAATTTAAGGCAATATTCTGGACCAAATTTTCCTGTGAGTATACAGTGTATGGAATACTTAAATTATATTACAGTAGTATGATTTTTACAAATTCATTTTTCATGTAGATGCAACAGAGATCTGGATTCACTCCTCCTCCACAAATGGCCAATGCAGGCCCTGGCCCAGCAAGTATAATAAGAGCAAGTCAGCCTTATTCAAACATGCGTCAAGGTCCAATGCCTACTCCACCAGTTGGGAAGAGAAGCGCGGATCAACGTATTCCTATGTCACAACAGAAACCGTAAGTGCACTAACACTGCATGGTTTTTTTTTTAACACGCATTTGTATTGCTATTACTTTGCCCATTAACTCATTATATTAAGTAATTGATTTAACAAGTGTATTACCATTTCTGTTAAAAGAATAATTCGTAGTGTGTATCATTTTGCATTTAAAAAAAACCATTTGTCGATTTGCCAGGAACTTCACTGCATCTCATAAGCTTCAAAATTGATTTATTGATTTTTGAATCTATGATTTTTACACAAACTCATATAGGTATTTTTGGAACAGTGATTTTTCACATTCCACATCCAAGAAGAAGAAAAAGTTGGCGGATAAAATACTGCCACAAAAAGTGCGCGATTTAGTGCCTGAATCTCAAGCTTATATGGACTTGCTTGCATTCGAAAGGAAATTGGATGCGACCATAATGAGAAAACGGCTTGATATACAGGAAGCATTGAAACGTCCAATGAAACAAAAACGAAAATTACGAATATTTATTTCGAACACTTTTTACCCGGCGAAAGAAGCTGGTGATGGTGAAGAAGGCTCTGTCGCGTCTTGGGAACTCAGAGTTGAAGGGCGGTTATTAGATGATACGAAAAACGATCCCAATAAGGTAACAATTAATACAAAAAATTAAAATAGGTTTTTATTTGTATACAAATTTTCAGGTAAAGAGGAAGTTCTCTTCTTTTTTCAAAAGTCTAGTTATAGAATTGGATAAAGATCTGTATGGACCCGATAATCATTTGGTCGAATGGCACCGCACACTGACCACACAAGAAACTGATGGTTTCCAAGTAAAGAGACCTGGAGACAAAAATGTTCGGTGCACTATTCTTCTGCTCCTTGACTACCAACCCTTACAAGTAATATTCCATATTTTTCTAATTAAATAAATGTACATAAAGAAAACTACAATTTAAAAAATTAATTTTTTTTATGCACAGTTCAAACTAGATCCCAGATTAGCGAGACTTTTAGGTGTACATACACAAACGCGGCCCGTGATCATCTCCGCCCTCTGGCAGTATATAAAAACACACAAGCTTCAAGATAGTCACGAAAGGGAATTCATAAATTGTGATAAATATCTGGAGCAAATATTCGCCTGTTCAAGGATGAAATTCGCGGAAATTCCACAGCGTTTGAACCCACTGCTTCATCCACCAGATCCTATTGTAATCAATCACGTTATCAGCGTAGAAGGTACATTTAAAAATAATTTAAAAACACTCCAAAATCTAAAAACGTTAAAAAATAAGCATGTTTACATTTCATATCATTCAGGTACAGAAACAAAACAGACTGCGTGCTACGACATAGACGTGGAGGTCGACGACACATTGAAGACCCAGATGAACAATTTCTTGCTGTCAACCGCTAGTCAGCAAGAGATTCAGAGTCTCGACAACAAAATTCACGAAACAGTGGAAACGATCAACCAACTGAAAACGAATCGGGAGTTCTTTCTAAGTTTTGCCAAAGATCCTCAACAGTTCATCAACAAGTGGATTATATCGCAAACGAGGGACTTAAAAACAATGATCGACGTAGTTGGCAATCCGGAAGAAGAACGCAGGGCAGAATTCTATTACCAGCCATGGGCACAAGAAGCTGTTTGCCGGTACTTCTACACGAAGGTTCAACAGAAGCGCGCGGAATTAGAGCAGGCGCTCGGTATCAGGAACTCATAAGCTTTGATCGAAGTAAAAACGATATCGAGGCATCGCTATGTAAAGTATTTATACGAATCTTTCTCTTGTTCCAATTACGAAACCGATCGATTAACGTGTCTTACGCTTGACTCGGTGTACCGTGACGTAATTACGCGCGAGCAACGCTAATAGATGGTGACATATTTTTACGAACGTTACGGACGGATGGAAGAATGATGTGTAGTATCATGCAGGAATTATCGCACCCATTGAGGCAGATTTATTTACGCGAACGTATATCACATCTCGTATATCTTTATTCAAGCCAAGATTTTTTCAGAAAATTTTCTATGAGAAACATGTATTGCGATCCACTACGTGCACTGTAACTGCGACGAAATTCTGTACAATATAATGAATAAAACCTTTGATATAATCACGCAATTTTGAACTAGATCCCACGTTAGTGAATAAATATTTTTATTAAAATGAAACAATTGTTATATCATGTTCTAAAGATAATTAAAAAAATTTTAAATTAAAGTGAAAATGCGTTCTTGTAATTTTAAATGAAACAGAAAGAAATGTTTTGAAATGTAATTTCTAATTTATTATATAATAAGGTAAGAAGGTTGAAAATAAAGAAAAGAAATGAGTAATACATTTTTCTGTTATCCAATTCTTATTTTGTTTGTGCAAGTAAATACAATCTCTTACATAATCAGTACATGTTGATGCAAAATATGGTTTCCTCGCGGAAATGGCGGTATTGCCAATTTAAAACGCAAGGAACAGGAATCGTAAATTTTCTACGGTCTCTTCATCATCTTCATCCTCGTTCAATCGCGCCACGAATGCGGAAGTTCAATGTTTTGTTTAGTCAGTGTAAAAGTGCTTTTCCCTTACTTAAGAGTATTATGGATTAATTTGATTCAGTATTACAACATTAACATTCCAAGACATTCACACGGGGATGGGAAATTCTGATGCCATTTCAATCAGATTTATGGGTGGTTACATGTTCACCTTTTATTGTTATATATAATATATATTTTTTTTTTACGAGACATTAAGTATTTCCCATATGTCTTGCAAAACGATTCGCCGAGAAAATAATCTTGAAGTCGCATCATTCCAATTACACACAAGTATTTCTAACGCCTTTCTATTTCTTTTTCTTTTTTTTTTTTCTTTTTTTAAAGACACCAAGCCGGAACAATACGTATTACGAAACATTCTTCACATGCCTAGACGAGCATTACACGCAAAGCACTTAACCACGCTTTTCTACTTATCGCATAATGGAAAAACCAAAGAAACAAAAGGAATCGTGACACAGCGAGATATTTTCTCTGGCGATAAAATTTAAAAACTTCATAATTTCTTTTTTCCCTTTTTTTCCTTCGTGTCGATTCGATGAACATAATTCTATCGAAGGTCGCATACTGTTGTACAACACTAAATCACAAGTGCACCAATTGATTGTATCGTTTCTAATACAATAAACTCTGATTAAGTTCTGACGTATTCGTTCGGTACAAATCAACCATAAATTATCAAATGACTCTTGCTCGACTAAGAGCGAACGAACACGTCACGATTGCACACTGTTTATGAGATCAAGGTTTATTGTATAGGTTTTTACTTTCCTAATCTTAATTACACATTCACATATATTTTTTCGTATAAAGTTTTTAAATATACGTAATGGGTGACAAGACGAGTTTAACGCTTTTTCCTTTAATTAGACATTATTCACCTAAATCGTATGGAAGTTTTTACTTATGAGGGGAGGGGGTAGAAAGTTAAATCTAAACACATTTGTTTCTATGCCCGCGAAGAAGTCCACAAAGATCACATTTTGCCAACATAGAGTGGCAGATGAATCTCTGTACACCCTAATATATCTCGTGATTGATTTATGACTCGGTAGTCCTTCCTTGGATAAAATCGGATTTTCATTTTTCCTTTAATGGGGATTAATAACACTACAGAGATCGTACGCGTTTTTTTCGCAATACGAGATAACCATTAAGCCTCGAACATAGCTTTTTTAATATTTTTTTTGTTCTTGTGAAGACGTATCATCTAAATGATCACATAATCGGTATTGCTTTAAATTTTCTGTTTGGTTCGCTGTGTGTGAGAACGTGCTCATATCATTCAACATCCGATACCATGTGTTCAATCTTCGATAATATATCCATCTTATCATACTGTTTTCAATGTCTGGTGATTTCTGTACGCATCTAATATAAGTTGTTTTGTTTAAGAGGAAGGTAAATTCCATTTGTGCAGTCTTTTTTGTTTTTTTTTTTTTTTTGTTTTTAAGTAATAATGCGAGATACATCGGTGCAAGAGATCCTTTGTGTTTCCAGAAGTTCGTGTTAAAGTTCACTTCCTTCCTCTTTTACAACGACTATGGATACATTTTACACAATAGCTCGTATGTTAAATGACCGTTGATAAAGCGTATAAATGTCACCTATGATTGCGTTCTGTTGCGACGGCGCATTTACGTAACACAAAAACGCTAACTTGTACTATACGTTCACGCATATTTTTCATTTCCTCACATTTATTTTATCCAAACGAGGCCATCAAAACAGATAACTTGTACGTTATTCTTTCTTTTTTTTTCGACTCGAGACAGATACGCAAATTGATCAATTAAAAATTCATCTTTAGAAATGATAGGTATTTATCATTTAAACGAGTATAACACGTGTATAAATAGAAATTTAAAATCTTGAAATTAACAACATGATTATATAATGTAACAAAGTAATTAAAAAATTTTCGACACATTGTATAGAATCTAAAGATTCGAATATTCCTTTAAAATTTAGGAATGTTTTTTTCATTTTTCTTTTGATTAACTACTTAACAAGAATTTTAATCAATCATTACGAAAAACGAATGAAACTTACGACATTTCTGCGACACGATAATTTTCAATACTGATTCGGTATTGGAGCAACGATAGGTGTCATTTCCACGTTTTAATAGTACTATGCCAGTGATAATATCATCTGAAATATACACGCTTTTATTATATTATCAAACAAATTTTTCTTCCTTTTTTTTTCATGTTTTTTCTTTTTTTTTTAAATTCATACAAGCATTCGATGCGAAATTTTTGCATATTTTACTCCCTTAAAGTCTTTTCTAAAATAAATAAAAAATTGTATTAATTCATTACACTACAACATAAAGATATTAACCCATTTTAACCCAATTGTATTCTCAGTTGGGGTAATTTAATAAACATAAGATATGCATAGAAATTATTTGGTATAGTTACAATGTTTGGAAGTATTGTTAGTTAATAATTCTTAATAACATAAATATTACTACGAACAATGGAGTATAGAATGCATACAAAACTAGAGTGTAGAAGAATGAACTTTTCTACTATACATCACACTGGATGGATCGTACAGCAAGGCAGTGTACTGTGAGGTTTATTACTTGATATGCGATGCGCACATAAATAACTAACAAAGTTAGCCATTGTACTAAGATAAGTCAGATACTAATGCTTACGATTTCAATATGAAATAATATATGCTAGAATAAAACTGTGCAGAGTCATTTGATGTTTTTTTTTCCCCATTAAGTTCGATCCAAGTACAATGATAAATTGGCATTTGAGTCGCGTCTGCGCGACTCGTTAAGGCTTGAATATGTCTTTGACTCGTTCCAAATCTGAGCAAATTTGTTAATGCTTCAAAAAAGTCCTTGCAAACACGTAAGTGTTAAGAAGAACGCGAAAGTTCTTCAAAGTGTTTTAGCTTTTTCAAGTAAATCATTAATGAATTTCTGAAACATATAAATAAATAGATAAACTTGCGTTAGTAACAATTACCAATTTTTCTATGACAAACTATTCCACTAGAACACCATGAATGGTACACCATACTCGAACTTGTATTAATTTATCTAATTTACTTGATAGTATTTTTAAGGTAGAACATCTTGAATTAATAAATTAGTCACAAATCATATACCATTATAACACTAACAACAAGTGATTACAAATTTATTGAGGCTACAATAGTGGTACTTACATTTACATCATGTGAAGATTTCTTTGTATCAACCAGTAGTTCCTGTAAAAGATAATAAAACAATAAGATAAAATATTCCATTTATATCATTTACAATAACAGTTACATAATGTACACTTCATACTTGCAAAAATCTTCGTCTATGATCATCACTATCCATGTCAAGGAGTTCATCTATGTCAATTTCAACTTCCCGATTTTTACCACTGTCATTCTGCAAATTAAACAATAAATTAATAATAAATGATTATGTTTGTTCAGAATGATGTAACAGTTTCTAAGTATAGATAAGTTAATCTTGAACTTACAACTGTTTCATATAATTTTTCTAACTCATCAAATAACCACATTTCAACTGCAAGTCTTTTACGAATGAGGGACATCTGATGTGATCCATACTTAGCTGTCAGAAATTTCTCTCTACGTTCCTTTACCTCTCCTTTTTCAGTGAAAGCTACATGCAGATTTGCACGTGCTGGACTGCGTTCTGCTGTAAGTACTCCACCACCCTCCATTATAAAATTACCTAATAATTCAAATGAAGTCATAGTAATACATTTAAAGTAAAACATTATACAATAAAACAGAAAATTATATGAAGAAAGAACCAAATGTAAAATTTGCATATTTGTTAATGTGATATTTTCTGTGAATATATATCTAATACTTTAAGCTTTTAAAAGTTAGTTAATACACATTGTGTTATGTACAGCATAAATGTTTAATGAGAGATATTAGATAGGCAGTTAATAAAGCAAGTTAAATATTAGAGGGAAAGGACAAAAGAAGAAGGGAAACATAAGAGAAAAGCATTGCAATATATAGAAAGTATATGTATATATGTATATATCTACAAATCTTTATTATTTTATAGAGTATGTTACAAAAAATAATTACATAAAATGAAACTTTTACTGTACCTTTTTAACAAAATAAAAAATTCATTTAAAAATTGTATTAAGGTAAACATAAAATATTTTTCGGAACAGTTATTTTTTTCTCATCGCAATCCATTATGAATTATTACAATTGACTGTACGAAATCGGCTGAGGAAATATAGCGGATATCATATAAAAATACTTTTAGAAAAGTAAAGGAAAAGAAATTACGAAATGAAATTCTTTCTCTGCGCATTCACATCCGTTCCAACAGAATAAATTAAGTGCGCGATTTACTTGAAAAAATTGCCCGCGTGATCGATCACTGACAAATTGAATCAAATTAATCAAGGAGAATAATTATTGCGCCCAAGCTCATGATGGATCAGTTATTTTTTCTATTCTTTTTCTTTTCTTTTCTTTTCTTTTTAACGATCATGGGAAAGGTTCACGCACATGCGAACCGCTTCTCGCATGCTACAATAAACAATGGGCTCCCTAAAGAGCATTCGAAATAAGAAAACTAAGAATGTTAAGATAAAATACACCACCGCGAATAAAACGAAAGAAAAAAAATATCATGCCGACACTCATGTAAATAAAGCGATTACAGAAAGATAGAGTTACATTTGGCGTTTTTAATAAAAGATCAGCAACTCGTGTCAGTATAAGTATAAACAAAGAGCAGGATTATTATTTCGCTATATATTACACGAATTAATGGAAAAACGATGTTGTTAGTGCGCGTTCGTACGATCGCTTAATATTACTTACACTCACTGCTTCTATTTCAGAATGTACACTACTCAAGCCGTAATACAGTATCGTAATGCCAGAATCCATACGAATAATAAACTTTCTTGAAGTTATTTGAGAATGATAACATTTTTCTACTAGCCATGATAACCATATGGTACATAAGATATTCCTATTTCGTGGCAAATCGTGATTCAGTATAGTTAGGGATATTTCAGCGTGAGGAATCTATATATTACTCCAAAGGTAACCCTGTCTTCAATCATCTATCCACAAACAGCAATATCAGATCGAAGGAATTTTTTATGTTTGAATTCTCCTAAATTTAAAATTGATGTAACTAATTTAGCGAGGAATTTTATAGACTTCCTGAAATTTGTGAAAATCAATAACTCGTTCCATCTAATATTATCACGATTTGATTAAAATTTAAGTAATCTAATTTTGAAGCAGTAAAATGTTACTGATATTGGAATTCAAATAATATTAAACTAGTATTAAAATTTAAATAGGGAATAAAATATTGAAATAATTTGGGACACGAAAATTGATGAAAACTATTTATTAATTAGAAATAATTCAATCTTGACTGGCATCAACATTTTCTGTTTGTAGACCTTTGAAGGTAGCAACTGGTATGTATGTAACAAGAGTGTACAATTTGTTCGCAGAATCTTCATCATCGTTCCTCCTTCTGCTCAATCGTACACGAACTCTAAATGGTACATTCCTAAAAATACAACATTTGTTTAAATTATCATCAATAAAATATATTAGATTAGCAAATAGCAACAGTTTTATTCTTAGCAACCTTTAATTTGATTTAATTACAAAATGCATGTGATTTACCTAATTCCTTTGGACCAAAGTTGTTTATTGAGACGTGTGTCAATCCTCACATCTGGTGTTCCCATTTGTTTCTCGGCAAATTTACGAATTTCTTTGATAGCTCGTGGAGCACGCTTTTTGAATCCAATCCCATGCAAACGTTTGTGAAGATTCACGGTGTATTCACGAGTCACAACCTCGTTAATAGCACTCTTTCTCCTTTTCTCTGTTGACTTGGCCATTTTGAACTGAAAACAAAATTCCAGAACTTACCATCACAACGTGACATAACCAAGAAATCTATGATAGAAGTTGGACACAAATTTATAAATTATTCGAGAACAAAAGCCAAATTTAAAATAAAACACACATTTATACAGAATCAATATATTTTTACTGTGAAATATTAAATCAAACTTTGTTATCGTTCCAATTATGTTAGAGAGAAATCAGTAAACCGTACAATGTGGAACTTGTGTTTATTTTAATTGTAATTGGCAATAATATTCAACTTGTACTATTATGCAGTAATTAATCGATATGGTTATATCAAAAGTTATTTATTATTAACAATTCGCAGCCAGATGTTTTTCGATTCTATTTTATATAAAACTGACAGTACCTCTTCGATTAATGGTTCGAAGCAAAAGAACCAAAGTTCTTAGCGTTCCTAAACTTATCGGTTTTCTATAGCGCTATGGTGATAAAATTTATTACATAAAATACACTTAAATACGCTTATAATAATGAAAAAGCAAGTCAAATTATAAGAAAATTATTATATTATTAAGTATTTCACGTATGTATATATATTACTTAAATTTAATACTATTTTTATAATTTTGCACGCAATCGTTTAAAATATGTTTAAATTACGTATAACCTACTACGTATAAAATAAGTGCGTCGCATTATGTAAAATATTTTAATCACTAGTTTGAAATTACCATTTTATAGAATTCTTCCATTGAAATTTCTTTGGAGTTTTTTCCTTTTATATCTTTTTATAATTAATACCATGTCACTTTTTTCATTAATGGGGTATTGTTAACTAATTGTATAGCAAATAGACGAAGATTTTTCATAATAAAGATACCACACTAGATATAATGTATGGTGTAAGGAAGATCGCGCCACGATAGCTTCGAGGACGCTTGCAATGGTGGAAAATGGAGTCTATTAACCTGTGATGTTGATACAATTGTTTTTAATCATAAAAAGCTTTTCATGGAATTAAAATGGCTGGTAAAGTGTGGAATTCAGAAATATGGAAAGCATGGGATAAACATGGAAAAAATGATTTGTAAGTGGTTAACGCGTTAACGTCCAAAGTGCGTTCGATTAATATTGAATTGATACTGCATACTCTGTGCAATTGATGGTTGCAACTTATCTCTCCTGTTTCTCGCTCTTCTGAAGAGTTAATTGTCAATTAACAACTGTTTGCAGCCTCAAGTTAATCAAGCACAAATTTAAGGAAGGCAACACTGCAGGTGAGCCTTTCTTATTGCAAAATTTATCTTACCAGCTTGAGTTATGTTTCATGTTTCAGTGTACACTTTACACGCGTCGAAATCTTTCCTTTTCATGTTCGTGATTTTGTAAACATTTTAATTCTTTACGCAATAAGTAATATTAAATTGTAAAAATTTTTCCCTTGAACGTTAAATGAAAAATAAACAGAAATTTTATATGTTCAAAAAATGTGGTCACACATTATTTTTAAGCATTTTTTATTTGTATACCTGAATACATTATGCAAATATTTTTTGTATTATAGGAAATATGCAGTATAACTAAAGATATAATTTAAACTATTTAATAATTTAATGGATTATAATTGAAATGTAAAATAAAAATAAAATCTGTTAGTTTCTTGTTAATTTTTTTTTCTTTTTTATATGAATATAAACTGTTAAGAAATTATCGAGCACTAACAATTAATATTCATAAAGTTAATCTTGTGCATTTATGATATTGTGTAATATGTAGCAATCATTTTATAATTCCATATTTTTTTACATTTTTTTGTGGTATTGTCTTTACTTTTAGATTGGAGAAGAGGATTGTACGAATTAATATCAAATGGAATCCGTGGGAACATAAAAAGGGACAATGTAGTTCAGACATTAGGTGAACTGACGGTAAGTTCAAAAGCTGCAGTTATTATTACAATGATTTATTATTTTTCTGATTACTGCAAAAGCATATATTTTATCATAAACTTTAGCATATAAAGCATATTTATTTTCAGAGTGTTGATGGGGCAATACCATCTGCAATTGTGGATATATTTACATTAATAGATGCAGAAGCACATAATGAGGAAAGGAATAATTTTTATTATATAGTAAAAGAATCAGAAAAGGTATCATTTTAATAGGATAACAAAAAGACCAAAATACTTACCATCTACTAAAAAATTTGTAATGACATAATTAATTTATGTCATTTGCTTTTTATATAGTTTCTCACAGATAGGATATTGAAGGAACGTTTAGAAATTGACACATTACAAGATGTAGGAACATTGAAAAATAAGAATTTTCAAACTAAATTCATTAAAGTGAAAACAAAATTGTAGTATGTATTTTTTTCTCCATGTTTCGATATAAAACGTAATAATTTTAATCGAGGCAAAATTTATATGAATTGTTTGTTTGCAGTTATAAACAACGGAAGTTTAATTTATTTAGAGAAGAGAGTGAAGGATATTCTAAACTTATAGTGGAATTGAATCAGGAACGTCCAGAAAACGAAGTAGCATCGATACTGGAAATCGTTAAGTCTCTTATCGGTAAAATATTTCGTTTCAATATTTATTAGGATTAATTTCACAATTTAATCGGAGCTATACATGAAGTTACACACGCATATATTTTTTGTAGGATATTTCAACCTTGACCCTAACAGAGTGCTCGATATTTTATTAGAAACTTTTGAAAATCGACCGCAAGACGATGCACTTTTTATTCCTTTAATTCGTTCGTATATGAGCGACCAGCAGGTACTCTGCGAAGTTCTAGGATTTAAATATTGTTCTACCGTAAATGCAACACCATTTTCATTGCAAAAAGTTACCGCGCTCATGTTGCAACATGGCGTTATTGAATTGGACGATATATTGCCGTGGTTAGTGCCAGATGACAAGACTATTATTAAAGAACATGAACAGGCAATGAAACAAGCAAAGGAATATGTTCGAAAATTAAGCGTGATTTCTACCAAGGATAAGGAAGAAGTACCAGAAGAGAAAGAAAATCCACTGGTAAAAGAGTATATAATTGTAATTAATTTTACTCGTAATAAAAGTTCTACTCACATTATTATTTTTTAATAGGATAAATATGCAAGTAATCAAAAGTTCGGATTGTGTGAAGCGCTGTTGGAAATTGGAGCTTGGGAAGTAGCACAAAACTTGTTCAATCGATTGCCAGATCACAGTCTCACTGATCAACGTCCTATTGCTTTATCGCTGTGCAAAATGATTCAATCCCTTATTGAACCCGTTTATCGCAAGTACGTCATGTTTTGTATGATATATTCATTACAGAATTCAATAGAATCACTATAAATTTGAAACAATCATATTACAATTAAATTCAGATTCTGTGCTATCACGTTATATTTTAGACACTGTATAATATCGCCAAAGTTACAAGGCAGGAGTGTCCCGCCCTTGGAGAGCGCTCTTGCACCAAAGTCGATCGAAAATCTCGAAGAGATACACGATCAATTGTTGCCAATGCTCATAGTTCTCGGTCCCAATTTACACCACGATCCCGTTTTAATGTATAAAATTATGAGATTATGTCACGCCGCTATAAAGCAGTGTCCTTTAGACACGAATAAGCAACCAGTTGATAAAAATAATAATTTATATTACGACGTATTGACGATTCTCGATGTGGCGTTACTGCCTTCGCTGTCTTTTATGGACTGCAACTGTTGCGTCGCAGAGGAACTGTGGAACATTTTAAAGTACTATCCATATCAAAACCGATACTGTTTATACGCTCGATGGAAGAATGATACGCCTCTGCAGCACGCTGCACTTTTGCGGAAAAGAGCAGACGCACAGAAGAAAATAAAATCCATTATGAAGAGAGTGAGCAAGGAAACCATTAAACCAGTAGGAAGATCAATAGGCAAACTCACTCATTCCTCGCCTGGTGTATTATTCGATTATGTTCTTATACAAATTCAGCTGTACGATAATCTTATAGGTATGGGGATAATTTTATAAGTAATTTATTGAAGACTTTAGCAGGTATGCATTTAATTATTTCGTGTATTACAGGACCTGTTGTAGATTCTTTAAAATACCTGACAAACATTTCTTACGATGTACTTGGTTACTGTCTTGTGGAAGCTTTAGCTGGTGCTGATAGAGATAGGTTTAAGCACGATGGCACCAGTATATCTCTCTGGCTCCAATCCCTTGCTTCGTTCTGCGGAGCCATATTTAAAAAGTATAATATCGAACTTACTGGTTTGCTGCAGTATGTAGCTAATCAACTTAAAGCACAAAAAAGGTACATTGTATATAACATTTGAATTCCTTTTTTTTTATATTTATTTATTTTATTTTAGTACATACATATTTTCATTATATGCCACATTTATATTTAATTATACTTGATTGATTGTAGTTCTAATTTATTTTTATTACATATAGTTTTGACATAAGGTATAATTTCATAACACAGAAAGAATGATTATCTTTACTGTGATATTTTCAATACCTTTCTGCTCAATCCTTTGTAATCTTAATTAGTTGAGAAAAGAAGTAACAAAATAATCATTTCTTGTTCTTTAAACAGCTAAATAAAGAAGATTCCGCGTTTTTCTTTTGATTTGCTAAGTAAAAAAAAGCATGCAGAAAGGAAGTCAAAGTAGTGTTGTATAATTGTATTTTTCAATGGTAACGTTAATATAAATTATTAATCAATCGAAAACTGTTATTTAATAATAGTAATAGGAAATTTTTGCTTAAATGTAAGATTTATATAGCTAAATATATGAAGCTAGCTACGTATCATTGCCAGTTATATTTTAAAGATCTATCCAGACAAACAGTGTATTTTTTTAAATAGAGAGCTATCTTGAATATATATGGAGTACCACTTTCTATGAATATTTTAATACGTGTGATCGTAATTCAATACCATGTGTATAATACGGCAAAGGAGAAAATTAAAAAAACAAAAAACATGAGATACAACTTTGATCCACTGTTTGTAATTTCAGAATAATTATACTCACGAACACATGAAAAAAATCCGATCAAATTGTAATCAATGTACTATGAAGACTTTTTAATTGCAGTGAACATACATACACTATCACTCTGCTGTAATAGTTCATAAACGGAAAACATCTAAATATCGTTGAATAAATAAAACTTACAAACTTTTCATTGCAAAGGAATTTTACCAGTGACAATTCAAATCAAGTGTGGCAATATACGATTCTCTCTTTATTCTTTTAAAACACATCTTTGATTATAATGTTATATATATGTATATATGTATATATATATATTTCAAAAAATATTGAATATATTTTCGTTCTTTATTGATCCACTTAAAATTCAAGTAATAAAAATTCAAAGAAGATCGATGTAAACGTTCAACATTGTGGAACAAATTTTATGGATTTTGTGCAGTTCTGGATTAACGAAATCGCTATACATCGTTGCATATTTTTATGAAATATAAAAATTTCGTGCATTGAGATAAAAAATTACAACATTTTTCAAATACATATTTGTATGTACTTTACCTGTAAAAGGAGTTGGATACAGATGTACAAGGAAAAAGAATAAGAAGAAACAATCTTAGGAAAGGGAAACATTGATGCAGAAATATTGAGTAACAACCTCTACAAATAAAAAAATAAATGGATAGGAAAATGAAAGGACTTAGCATTGAATAAAAAATATCGAATAATTAAAATTCAATTATTTATAAACCGATGTGTAATAAAATTATCAATGATCATAAAATGTTGACAACATGAAATAGTAATGTAAAACAAAAATTGAAAGAACTAATAAGTTCAAAAGATAGAATTTTACGCGGTGAGAAATATTGCCACCAATGCACTAAAAACCTAGAAGGACAAGGTAAATACAAAATGTTTATTGTAGAATTCGTTTTCTTTCTTTTCTGTTTTTTTTTTGTTTATTTAAGCAATTTTGATAGAAGTATTAATCTCGAAGCATGTTGCAAACATATTAAAATATTTCGAATTATACTTTTTCTTTCTAGGTATTAAAAAGTTTGTAAATAAGAGAGATTAAATTTTGAGTAATGGAGAGAGGACAGGAATTTGTTTATATCTTTGGGAAATATAATTTGAAGGGAACAGAAATAAAACTAAAGGTGATAAAGACTAGTCAAGTGTATGGATCTCTGCAATAAAAAGTATAAAACGAGGATTCTTTATGATAATTTACGAGGAAACAGTGGAGATGTTTATCATATATATGTATATTTATATATATATATATATGTATATA